GACAGTCAGTGAAGATTTTTCTTTTGCTACTCGCCTGGCTAGGAGAAAACTAATAGAATTTGGCAAATCCCAAGGAAGTACTTTCAAACTGCGTTTCAACAAGCTTTATCAAAATAACAACTGCTATACGTACAACCCCCAAGAAGACCGAATATGTGTGTCAACCTCGTTCCAACGCTCTGAAAGAAATGTTAGCGTGCTTCCACTAATTTCAGCCCCCCTTTCTCAACCGTCCGGCTCCGCCTAGCGGTCCGAGAGGGGCGGGGGACCAGTTAATGTGCCAGTTGTTTTTTCTAACATTCGAAGTCTGATTAAAAAACGCGATGACTTATGCTCAATGATTGACTCATGTGATGCTGGTTTGGTTGTGCTCACTGAAACTTGGCTTTCCTCTCAAGTTAAGGATTCTGAAATATTTCATTGTAGTAAAAGTTTTGATGTTTACCGGAATGACCGCAAGGAACGTTCTGGAGGCGGAGTTTTGATAGCAGCTGTGCCTGAACTTAAATCTTTTTTGATAGACATAAAATCTGATCTTGAGATAATATGGGTAGGTCTTTCCATTGTACACAAAAAGCTAGTATTAGGCTGTTGCTATCGTCCTCCAACAGGATCAAATACTTTTGTTGAGCAACTTCATGATGCAATTAACCTTGTCCGTGTTCGCTTTCCAAACTTACCCATTTTTCTTATGGGCGACTTTAATTATCCCGGCATCATCTGGTCTGATTTAAGTTCTTCATCGAAAAACCCCTCAACTGAATGTAACCAGTTCTTAAATCTATGTTCTGATTTTAATCTTTCGCAAATTGTAAGATTTCCGACAAGGACAACAGACTCCTCGGCGAACGTGCTCGACCTGATACTGACTGATACACCTGATTTAATTTCTGATATTTTATACCTTCCTGGTCTCAGTGATCACTCGTTGCTTAATTTTTCTTTTATAACTCCCGTGTGCCGTAATACAAAACAGATCAAACAAATTCGGGATTACAAGAGGGCCAACTACGCAGCGATTAATGAAGGTCTGTGCTGTTTTTTGGAGGACTTTTTGCCAGAGTTTTGCGAGCGTTCAGTTCAAACCAATTGGGACTTATATAAAAACAAAGCCATTTCTTTATTTAATGAGCACATTCCATTACGCTCAATTATAACAAACACACAGTCTCCATGGTTCACTCCTCAACTCCGAAGGCTCTCAAATAAAAAGAAACGTTTGTTCAGAAACGCAAAGCGCATTGACTCGGAGGAATACTGGCAACGTTATAATCTCGCAGCGAATGAATACAAAAAAGCAGTCGGGGAGGCTAAATATTACTTCTTTAATGAGTGCCTACCATCTATGCTAATTAATAACCCTAAACAGTTTTGGAGTGTAATGAATCCCAGTGTTGAGCGTTCCCTTCCACTTAGAAATGAGTCCGGTGAAATGTTTCCCAATTCACTGTGTTCAACTGTTCTCAATGACATGTTTTCTAGTGTATTTAATAATGTTACTGATTCATTTTGTCCATCATATCCTTCATATGACTTTTTTCCCATGAATCCAATTGTCATTGATGAGTATGGTATTTTAAAGATTATAGAGTCAACTAAACAATCATCGTCATCTGGTGTTGACAATATTAACTCAAAGTTTCTAAAGAATACAAAAGAATATACATCAATCATTTTGTCTAAACTATTTGAGCAATCTCTTTCACTAGGTCAGCTTCCAGACGACTGGAAAACTGGAAGGGTGATTCCACTGCACAAGACTGGAGACAAACATTCCCCTTCTAACTTTAGACCCATTTCACTCACAAGTATTTGTTGTAAAACGATGGAACATATAATTTATTCTAATCTGGTTAATTTTCTTGAATCTAATTCATTCTTCAACGTTAACCAACACGGTTTTAGGAAATTTTTTTCATGCGAGACACAACTTGTAAGACTAACAAATGATTTCCATCGCGTTCTAGATCGTAGTTCACGAATTGACAGTGTTTTTCTTGACTTCTCCAAGGCGTTTGACAGGGTCTCTCATAACCTTCTTCTTCTTAAGCTTCACAAACTTAACATTGAACCGCATGTACTTTCGTGGATTCGCGCATTTCTAACTAATCGTTCACAGTTTGTAAGTTGTAATAATACCGACTCGTCCAAAGTTTCAGTAACGTCCGGAGTACCTCAGGGATCTGTGCTTGGCCCTCTTCTCTTTCTCATTTACATTAATGACTTACCATTGAATGTAACATCTTCTATTTGTTTATTTGCAGATGATTGTGTTGTATACCGCGAAATTGTTAACAGTTCCGACATCTTACTTCTTCAAAATGATCTCGATTCCATCTCAAGTTGGTGTGACTCTTGGCACATGTCATTAAATGTCGACAAGTGTAAACACATGATAATTTCCAGGCGAGTTAACGATCCTCCTTCCTATATCCTTAATAATATGACTTTAGAGCGGGTTGACACTTACAAATATCTGGGCGTTCACATCACATCTAACCTCTCATGGGAATCGCATGTTAACCACGTCATTTCCAATGCCAACCGCATGCTTGGCTATCTAAAACGTAATTTTTTCCAGACTCCTTCGACTTTGAAACTCTTTTTCTATAAAACACTAGTCCGGCCAAAACTTGAGTACGCTTCTGCTGTTTGGGATCCTAACACTGAGAGCCTCGTCGGCGCCTTGGAGGCTGTCCAGAATAGATCTGTGCGTTTCATTCTTTCTAATTACCATCGTACATCAAGCGTAACCTCTATGAAAAAATGCCTATCCTTGCCAGCTCTTTCTTTACGCCGAAAGTTTTATCGATTAAGTTTATTTCAGAAAATATTTTTTCACAACCCTATACTTAAGACTGAACTCCTACTGGAGCCATCCTACATATCATCACGCAATGATCACATACATAAAGTCGAAATTCCACAATGCCACACTAATACCTACTACAGATCATTCATACCTCGTACGTCTGCTGACTGGAATCACCTTTCCACATCCATCGCCACAATTGTTAATCCTGTTGATTTTAAAAAAGCTGTATCAATACTACTAGAAGTTGATTGTGATTTGAGTGTTCCATTAACTTGTACGTAATAATCCCACCCCCCTCTGTAATGCCTTCGGGCCCTGAGGGTACCAATAAATGAAATGAAAATGAAAAAAGTGTGAATAGCTTCTTTTTATTTTGTTCACCATTTTCGGAGATCTGGAAATTGACCAGAAATAAAATTCGATAAACTCGTAATTTCTGAGAATTCAGTATTTACCGAAAATAAACGCCGGTAAATGCCAGATTTTTGAGAAAAGAAAACACAATAAAACCTCCAAATTTGACGAAAGCTAAACTCCGAAAGCATGGAATCCTAGTTATATGCTATAAGTAGTTTTTGGTCTAAACCGAAAAACACAAATAAGGGTATGCCGATTTCTTTTTTTTTTTTAAGATCACTATTTTAGAGCGGGAAGAGTAGGGGCAGGGGAGGGAGGAGGTAAGTCTACCCTTTGTTCGGCTGCTATGTTATGCTCCTGCGGTGTCCAACAATCAACCCAAGATAGCTTGTCCGGATATAGGCTTATCACTGGAATTGCCTTTTGTAAAGCCGTTCCATTCAACAAACCTTTTTTCTCTCCTAGAAGAATTATGGAGAAATTGACAATACGGACAAACAAGGCAGGAATTCGTTTTCTTTTGTTTCGCCTTCAGCGGGTGAGGTGCGAAAAGGGGGGCACCCCTGCATTTGGTCTTATGTCACCAGTTATTTCTGCCCTTTCCAGTTAATTTTTCGGATTCTATCCTAAAGGAAGGAAGGTCCAGAAGAGGACATAACGCCGCAGATGTGAAGCGGAGGGAGGGGGGAGAACTTCCGGTTTTAGAGGACACGCCCCTATTGGTGACTCACTTGTGTGTCGCCTCGTCGTATGCCAACCAGTGTTGGTGCAAACTAACTCGTCACTTCCCTGAAATGGCTGTGTACTTGCGAAGTAACCGCGGTGGGCTGAAACTTCTGCACGAAGGCTTCGAGTATGACAAGGAACGTTGCTTCAAAGAAAAGGTGAGCCTTTCACTGAGTTTGCGATTCAAATGCGATCTTTTTTTAATAGTACGAAGATTGTTACGCCGACTCTTCCTGTCTTTAGCTAAGTTATAATTTATAAAAACGCCTATTCCTCGCAGACATACTGGCAATGTAGCCGGAAACTGGAGTGTAAAGCAAGGGCTCACACTATTGACGAAGAAGTTGTCAAGCTGATCAACGAACACAGCCATGCTCCCAGCCGACTGGACCAAGAGGCCAAGTTGGCGTACTCATCAATGAAGGAAAGAGCACGGACGACTGAGGAACCCAATCAAGCCATCGTCGGACGCCTGGTGGCCGAGATGACACCGGAAGCTTGCAGTTACTTACCGCCTCAGGACACTGTTAAGAGAACATTAAGGTAAGTGTTATACACGAATGTTACGAATTAACATCTTTGCTACCTTAGCAAAATATATGCCACCTCATATGCTATGGAGATGTCCAGTTTATCATCGGGCTAGCCTAAACATTTTTAAAATTGAAAATATAGTAAAATAATAATGAGTAACCGCCCTATAGTTGAAACGTGACAGCAATAATATTTCCAACTTTTTTGCATGCAGGAGGGCGCGGGCGATGGAGCAACGGCCGATGCCTCTCCCTTCACGCTTAGAAGACGTCGTCATCCCTGCGCAGTACGCGTCGAAGATTGACGGGTCCAGATTCCTGTTGCATGACTCCGGTGTGCAAGACCAGGACCGTTTCCTTATCTTCTGCAGCCCGCAGATGGTGGATGTTCTCCGAACATCTAAGAAGTGGTTCGCCGACGGGACGTTCAAGGTTGCGCCTGAGTTGTTTTACCAGGTTTACAGTCTACACTGCGAAGTGGGCGGCTCCATCCTGCCTGCGGCATACATTTTGCTAACGCGGAAAGACTGTGGGACGTACACGCGAGCCCTGAACACCGTTAACGCCGAGTGTGGGGGAGATTGCGAGCCAAGGACCGTCACAGTGGATTACGAACTGGCGGCTATCAACGCTTTCAGGGCGGTCTTCCCAAGCGCCGACGTGCGCGGGTGTTTTTTTCACCTGTCGCAATGTGTCTACCGCAGACTTCAGTCGGAAGGACTACAGGAGCTGTATGCTTTTGACCCCGACATAAACCTGGAAGCTCGCATGATCCCAGCTCTTGCAATTGTGCCCCAGGACGACGTGGAGGGGGCATTCACCGAGCTTGCGTCCAGCATCCGCGCAGAACTTCTCCCGGTGGTCGAGGATGTGTTTATTGGGCGGCTAACGGCACGGGGCAGAAGAGATGCGCACTTTCCAATTAAGCTATGGAACCACCACGACACCGTTCTCCAGGGCGGCTCCAAGACCACGAACTCAGTGGAAGCCTGGCACCGGAGCTTCCAAGCTCATGTTCAGTGCTCGCACCCAACTCTCTGGAGATTCTTGGAGGTGCTACAACGAGAAGACGCCCTGCAACTTCACCGGCTTGGAAGACTCGAGATGGGCCAGCGCTTCAAGCAGGCCTCGAAATACGCGAAGGCTGCAGAACGGTTAAAGACACTTGCTAGAGAATACGACGCTAGTGATGTGCGACGCTTCCTTAGGGGAGTTGCCCGCAACGTGTCGTTCTAGGTCCCGGGCCATGTGCCTTTTGTAAATAAAAGTGGTCCACATTACATTTTGTGTACTATTTTGCTTCTGAATGCATTTGGCTTCGGACTTTTGCTTGATAATGAAACCCACGACTAACCTATGATGTGTATCTTTACCTGTTTCTATAGTATTCAGAAGGCCTATAATCTCGAGCTACTTTCCAGAAAGAGCATTCCATCAGGAATAAAGTCAGACAAGCGAATAAGTTTGTGTTTAGCTATACACCTGCTAGCTAGGAAAATATCCTCGTAGTGTGAAAGAGGAAAGTAATTTAACTTGTTTAAGGTATGTATGTCTTAATAACGAGCAGAATCAACCGTGTTTGAATTGGGACAAGCTTTATGTCTTAATGAATACAACTGTTATATTTTATGCGTGAACATAAAATGTCCGAATAACTGCAAGTAAGTTCAACTTCCCGAACTTCAAATTTACACCGAAATTTCCGTGCACCGAAGCGACCGTACACCGAAAAGTCCGTACACCGAAATATCCGTGCACCGAAATTTCCGTGCACCGAAATGTCCGCACCGAAACGTCCTACACCGAAATGTCCTACACCGAAATGTCCGGATCCCACCACATTGGATGATCACCGAACCGCAAACAATACATTAGAACCGCAATACAGCGAACCGGAAACAATACACCAGAACCAAATGGAAACGTGCCCTGTCGTTCCCATCTTCACCCAGCACACCGGGTCCAAAATAGAAAGCAGAAACACGAGGTCGTTACCACCGCACCCGGAAGGAATATCACCGGACAATGCATCACAAGCACTGGGAAATATACACTAACCTTCACCCCCCCCCCCCCTCCCCCCCCCCCCCCCCCACCCACACACACACACACTTCACTGAAACTTGAATCACACAGAGTCACCCTCTATGCCCCCCGTTATGATCCCGAACTGAACAACGGCAAAATAACTGCAAAAATACTCCAAAAGCCGGGAGACGTCATAATTAAAATAAGAACGCCGACTTGACATAACATAAAAAACAACTTCATTAGACGTTTCGCCTCCCATGCGGGAGGCATCATCAGTAGTTACACAGCAAACGCATTTGCTGTGTAACTACTGATGATGCCTCCCGCATGGGAGGCGAAACGTCTAATGAAGTTGTTTTTTATGTTATGTCAAGTCGGCGTTCTTATTTTAATTGTGGCAAAATAACTCTGCGAAGCAACCCCGCCCCCTCCTAACTTCACCCCACACGAAGCTTTGCAATCGAAGGAACTTTTTGGACTGCCTTCCAAGTTGCAAAGACGCATGGTTGATGCAATTTCCCGACGTTTTTATGCGAACAGTTACTCGCACAACACATCTCATCTCCTCACGCTCTTTCTGTATGATTTCCGTTTTTGACCAGTTTGCTGTACGTTCATTGCATTCCTGGAGATGCCTCGCTAGTTCAGAGTTTGAAGCGTTAATCCGCACATTCTGTTTATGTTTTGTTAATGCATCTTGCAGTTTGACCAACATATTTAAAGCCGCATTTCAAGGGAATTTCGTATACTATCCCACTTACACACGAAACAGAGCTCTCGCGATGCTTTTTTTTTACATAACTTTTGTCCTGCTTCAAAAAGAGTCAATTGAGATGATTTGGAATCATATGTAAACACAGTGTCAACCCCAAATCTCTCTGCACACGCTTTCAAGTTATGTGAAATGGCGTGAAAATACGGGATTGCAGCCCCGTTGGTTCTTAACACTGCCCTTCTCTTGTTTATCTTTGATCTGTAGAGAAAGTTGCCGTTTAATGAAGGCCTCTTGATAGCCGGCACTCTCCAGCCTTACCCATTGTCTTCTTAAAGACTGCTTCATGGAATCGGTGCATGACCTTTCTAGAGCGTTCTTAGTCAGAGACCTCACTTCCATTGCCTTTACGATTTTAGAATGGCAACTCTGCTCCGACAGAACGGGCTTCGGCGCCTGCTTATTCCCAACACAGCCCATTACCCACATGAATGCGTAAATTCAAAAATTGAATGACATTCTCCTTCGGGTTTTCAACAATGAACCCCAGCTCCGGTATTGCTGACCTTATTACATTTTGTAGTGAATCCGATAACTTATCTTGAAAAGTGCAAAATTAAACAATCAAATTTGGGGGTTTTACGTGCCAAACCAACGACGGGCATCTGGCACGTCCCAGCGGAGGACTGAGGATTAATATCGGCCAGCTGGGGACCTTTTGACGAGCATCCGAAGGCTCGGTGACACGGCACCTTTCCCGAAATTAGCCTCCGTCAGATTGGGGGCACCTCAACCAGGATTCGAACCCGCCACATAGGGATGCGTAGGCCAGCGCTTTCGCCTCGGAGCCACCGAGGCGGCTATTGAAAGTGCGCACAATTATGCCGTCCACATACCTTCTAATAAAGCTTCCATCTGAGGGCAACTTTGTTACCTTCTCAACCATAACTCTGTATAGGGGGTTGAGGTAAAACTCGGCCAAAAGAAATGATCGACGAAGTAGACAATTGCAGGAGCTTGAAGTTATTTCCAGGCTGATGCTGAAAAATGGTCCCAGCTTAATGAATCAACGCTTTGAGCGCTCTTAATAGTTTTAATTGTTTGGTACCCTGAAATTGGTTTCGACACACGTTCAAGGATAATATCATCCTTTTCTTAAAAATAATTTGAAACAAATTTTAAATCTCTTCTATCTATACATCATTCCACTAACGGCTCTCTGGGCGGCGCCATTTTCTTCGACTCTAGCGCCTTCTACTTACATCCGGGTACTTGTTGACAGTCCGCCGACGTTGGGCGGTACCCGCGTGCCCTTGATTGCGTGAGCCGTAGCGCGCGCGGGATCTAGCCGTGGCTATACCACGGCCGCTGGTATCGCTGCTTCTGTTGTGAGGGTGCTTATGAATGTCTGTTTAAGTAAATTGAAGAGAGTTGTTTTTGCTTTATTAAGAAGACACGTTGCGTACCCTGACTCGTAACGGATGGAAACTGCGTGCGCTAACGGCTCGCCCGCCTTACGCGAGTAGCTATGTTTTTTTTTTGTTTTTTTGTTTTTTTTTTGCACAACTGTGGAAGTAAGCTGTGACTTTTTCGCAATCTGGTCGGCACTTCGTTACCAATTTCTTCCATATTCTTATGAAAGAAGGAAGTTTAACGTTCGCCGTGACGAGTAATTAAATTAGTTTACAAGCTCAATTTCGGGACCAACATTCGTTTGGCAGCAGCGTCGCGAAAAGTTCCCAACTCATGTAGCAACTTTTGTTTTTCATCTATTTTATACCTTGCCTAGCGTAAAAAATGATATTTTTTTAGTTACTGCGTTTAGATGTTTGTGTAAAAAAGAAAAACGAGGTCGAAAATTGCAGAATTGATTGATATATAGTTTGCTCTGATAATTTCGTTTTGTACCAGTATGCTAACTCCGTTAATACTTCTTATTAGCTGTGGTTGCTTCATTTTATTCTGATCAGTTGTTTAGTGCAAAAGGCGATAATTATCTTGATACGTCAGTGTTGAGCGTTAAAAAAACTATAACAGGTAGCGTTTTGTGAAAACAAAACAGACCGTAAAGGAAAAGGGTTGGGCATTGCATGGCATTATTTAACAGCTAGCGGAGAAATAAAAAAAAAAAAATACGTTGGCGGCGACGGCATCGCATTCAAGTCAGTGTCCTAAATGCTGCTGTGTGGTCTTTTTTTTTTTTTTTTTTTTTAGAATTAGCGAATGAGCAAAAGTTATTGAGAAAAAATCCGTAAGTTCAAGTTATGAGCGATTTGGTTTGCGGCGGTCCGGCGAGGTTCTGTAGTACTCGTCGTTTCGTAATTACCACCTAAGCGTAAAACGCCCTCCCCCCCCCCCCCCCTCTCAAAAAAAATATTGGAGATGCGCCCATTACAAATACATTGATAAAACTTGTAAGATAAGGTGACTTTATGTCAAGCGTATTCAAGGTGCACTATGGGCACCGATTCTACGGGGTTCATTCGCCGTGAATAAAATGTCCCGGAAACACGCGGCTGCAGCTTGCAGGCAAGAAGTTGTTTTGTGTTAAATTCAAAGATTATTGCCTGACGAAGGCTTCAGTCAAGTAGAAACCGGTGAAGCAGAAGCAAGCCACAACCTCAATGCTGTTGCCGTACAGCATGGGCTGAGCACACCGTTGCCGCACACGCTTTCTGTTTTGTTTTTTTTTCTTTTAACAACTAACAACAGCACATTGCCGTGCGATTGATTCATTTATTGTAGACGACATCACCAGCACACTTGCGCGTCAAAATTAGCGGAACTGCTCGAGAAATAGCCAGAATACGCACCAGTGGGCCAAGGAGCTTTCATTTAATTTTCATTTTCATTTGCTTATTTGTTGTGCTACAAAATTTGGGTAAAAAAAATCAATATCTGCTCCACTGAGGGTGTGCGCATCGAGTATACTCCCCACTCCGAACTTGCTCCCAAGAGAACGGATTCGACAAATTGGCCGTCGACGAGTTGACTTTCGACGAATCGGCCTAGACCCTCCATGCCTTTACAGTGCCCAGTTTTAGACATGCACGTTTTCGGCTTAAATGGATGCTGAACCGAAATATGGATTCCACAGAACACGGCGGCAAAAGCGTGCAATGGGATGCTACAAACACCAGAACATCACTTATACAGCGATGCCTTAAACGAATAATCGTATTTTTCAAAAAAAAAAAAAAAAAAGGAGGCGCATTTGACAGATATGTTTACATCTTGTTTTTCCGTGAAGGAGAGATGGAACGGCCTCGCGTCTTCTCCGTTTCGCCGCCTTAAGGGGACAAAGCGAAGAGAGGAGGAAATGAGATATCTTGACGTCACGCACCCCGTCGGCCTGGTTCAAACTCGACTTCTTTCTCCAAAAATACGGCCGTCCATTTGAGATATCGCCTTACGAGTAGTGTTGTAGGGACTGTAGCGTCCCGCCTACATCTCCTGCATTCTTTTAAAATCCATATTTCGGTTCACCATTCCTTTAAACCAAATGAAACCGGTAGAAGTACGC